GATAACATGCCCATATTTAAATATTCTCCCAAATATACATTTAAAAAATATCTCTAGCAGTTTATTTCCTTATTCAGCCGATTCACCAGTTGTTTCATGCATTGCATTTGTTCTTCCATTTCTTTATATCTTTTCACCCAGATATAGTCCTTATCCCTTTTTTTCTCCATGATCGATTTTTAGAGGTTAGAGTCACTTGTAATATGAAAGACCGTAGTATGCATGGGGAGTGTTATTCCCTCCTTACGTTTCCACACTCCAGGTCATGGCACTTTGTGGCCCAAATGCCTGTATATTAGATCACTGGGATACTGGCATGTGGCGGGTACATAATGTTGACTTGTACCTATGTTGGTGAATGCTAATTTTGATAAATGGTTACATGGTGACTGCTTTAGATCGAGTATAGACTGCTCAGATGCACTATATATGAAAATAACGAATGTTCACAGTGACCCTTGACACGGCGAGATGAGAAATTGAGGCATGGGACTAACTGTATTTTAAACAGATATGAGCCTTAATGGTAGAAGCCAAAGCTAAACTTGACAATCTAGCATCCGAGGAATACACAGTTAGACACTATACGACACTGGCCCCTTATCACCAAACTCAAAGGCGATAGTTGAGGACATTCAGAAAACAACATTTCCTGATATAACAACCAAATGGTGGTGACTTATCATATTGCATTAACCTGGAATCCGTCAACCCATCGCGGAAATCTGCAGCAAGGTTAGTGCCTGATTCACTCAGTAATGTGCAAAAATGTTTGATGAAATGAAGAGCAGTAGGAAGTTCCATGCTGATCAACCAGTTAGTAGATCCTAAATGTGCTGCTGGAAGAGTCTTTTGACACGTTTAGCCATAATACATCAAGAATCATCACTTTCTTGATGACGGCGAGAATTTCAGAGATACGAGCCTGTCTATGCAGTTTCCCAAAACAGAAGACATAGTATTAGCTTCCCAAAGTAATTGCTCTTCAAAGTGAAAATTGACCTCCCATAGATGGTGGAAGAAAAGACTGAAGAATCTAAGATGGCAGGAAGCATGTGGTGTGGCGGAGGAGAGATGTTAAGTATTAAGTATCGTTGTGGGAATTGGATATAGAGATGGATATATTCAGTAACATGAATTAGTAGGAATTTCATGTAGAGGACAATTGCTGAAAGCAATTGGAACACTTGGTTCATAGTAGTTGAATCTATAACATATCTAAATATACTGGCATGTTACTTTTTATAATTTGGACTATGGGTGTGTTTTTTGTTTGTTTTGTTTGTGCGCTGATGTGTCTTTGGTTCTTGTTTTTGTATGTGTTTTTTGGTAGGTTGTCAGGCAGTAGGTTATGGGGGTGACGCGGAGGTTAAGGGTTTCATTATAATCCTCATTCCGCCGGACATGTTGTTTTTAGTTAGAAAAGAGCTGGTGGAAGAAGGTTGTAGAGGTAGCCGCAAGTGAGAAAATCCTCTAGGCCATTAGTTCCCAACTTTATTAAAGAAATTGGAGTGGTAATTGTAGATCTATTTAATGTAATACTTCATTATAGGGAAAGAGGTTAAAAATTAGAATATGTCTTTCAAGATTGCAGGTTTCCCTCATCTAGATCGTTTGGTATGCGGAGGTGATGGTACAATAAGAATTTGCATGTATTTTTAACATTCAGTTTGACAAGTTTTTTTGTTTTTTTTTTTTTTTTTGAGGACAGAGTCTCGACTGTGGGTGGTGCATCAGGCTATGCAGTGATGTGCGTGGCCGTCGAGCCCTAGCGTCACAGGCAAGCGCTCATACTCCTGGGCGCAAGAGAGCAGAGGTCGCGTCTGCGGCTACAGCGCGCCAAGTAGCTGGCTAGAGAGGCATTGGCTGCGGCGTTCAACAAGCATGGCCACGGCTAATTGTATACTATACCGGTACTATATATCGGTAGGGCCAAGGTATTTCTTTCTATTTAGTGATGTAGCACGATGGGGTCCTTGCTCTTAGGCATCGAGGGCTGGTTATCGGAGAGACTCTGACGCGGTCGGAGCAGTCCGCTCCACCTCGGCCTCTCCAGCAGTGCAGGATAGCAGCGGG